ACTAGGGGAGGTAGCCTATTCCTGGCACCCAATAGAACCTGGGATGCTATTAACAGTTTACATTGTACAGTCCCTCACAACAAAGATGCTGCTAATACCATATTGAGAGCCCTTGGCCTTATCAAATCAATTCTATTTAAAAGATCACTGTATGAGGGCTGGAGAGATAGCTCAGAGATTAAGAGCACTGACTGCTCTTCCAGAGGTCCTGAGTTCAATTCCCAGCAACCACTTGGTGGCTCACAACCCTCTATAATGAGATCTGGTGCCCTCTTCTGGCCTGCAGGCATACATGCAGGCAGAACATTGTATACATAATAATTTTTTTAAAAAGATCACTGTATTTATAAGAATCATGATTCTATCTTTTCGGTTCCTATCAATATCTCAAATTTTCCCTCATTTTACCATTTCATGGCTACAGTGACTTTGAATACTCATAGCTATAAATTTTTAGTCACCATAATAAGATATGGCACAAGTACAATCTTAGTGCTATTTTTCCACTTATTCCTAATACTATCAGAAAATTATATAAGCAAATAAATCAGACCTAACATGCTAGACACAGGTAAGCATAAACTTGAAATACTACCAACAATAACAGTTAGCTCATTGATGTTCATTCATACCATCCTCGGATATTAGGTTTGACTGTAATAGCTATAGTATTTAACTATACTTATTTTTGTGTTCTGTAAGTAAGTGTATTAGAGAATACTAGTGTGGTGGTACATACCTATAATTCCTACTACTCAGGAGGTTGGGCAGGAGGATTGTAAATTTGATGCCAGCTTGGGCAATTTAGCAAGACACTGGAGGGAAAGGGAGAATGGAGAGGAAGGGAGGAGATATATGTTAATCATCTGAAATGAAACAGTAAAATATTATTAGAAGATAACTGTTGCCACTCAGTGATCTTCAATGTAAGATTATGGAGAAATGCACAGGACTCAGGACAAGAGATCTGTGTGTGATTCCCTTTCCTGCTCTCCCCTGCAAATGTTTGAGATTTATTTTTATGTTATATTTATGTGTCTGCGTGTGTGTGCCACATGTGTGCATTGTCTGTGGAGGCTAGAAGAGGGTGTTAGATCCCTAGGACTGGAGTTACAGGCAGTTGTGAGCTGCCATGTGAGTTCTGGGAGGTGACTTCAGGGCCTTTGCAAGAGCAGTGTGTGCCTTCTCCACTGCTGGTGAGAGTGCCAACTTGTACAGCCACTTTGGAAGTCAGTATGGTGACTCCTCAAGAAAATGGGAATCAGTCTACCACAAGATCCAGCAATTCCATTCTTAGTCATACACCCAAAAGAAGCACATTCATACAACAAGGACATCTGTTCAACGATGTTCATAGCAGCACTATTTGTAATAGCCAGAAACTGGAAGTAGCCTAGATGCCCCACAACTGAAGAATGGATAGAGAAAATGTGGTACATTTACACAGTGGAGTACTACTTAGTGGAATCTTGAAATTTGCAGGAAAATGGATGGAACTAGAAGAAACCATTCTGAGCGAGGTAACCCAATCACAAAAAGACAAACATGATATGTACTCACTCATATATGGATTTTAGACATAGAGTAAAGGATTACCAGCCTACAATCCACTGCCAAAGAAGCTAGTAAACAAGGAGGACCCTAAGAGAGACATACATGGTCCCCTGGAGAAAGGGAGAGGTTCAAGATCCCTTGAGCAAATTGAAAGCACATGAAGAGGGGGGAGGGAGCTAGGAGTATGAGAAGGGAAGAAGAGGAAAGATGCAGAGGACATGAGGGAGCAGAAAGGTTGAATCAGGGGAAGAATAGAAGAAAACAAGAATGGAGATACCATAATAGAGGGAGACATTTTAGGTTTTCAGAGAAATCAGGCACTAGGGAAATGTCTGGAGATCTACAAAGATGACACCAGCTAACAATCTAAGCAACAGAGGAGAGGCTACCTTAAATGCCCTCCCCTGATAATGAGATTGATGGCTGACTTTACTTATCACTGAACTGAACTGGAATCCAGATGCAGAGAAGGATAAATAAAGAGCAAAGGGGTCCAGACCAGGCTGGTGATACCCACAGAAACAAGTGACCTGAACATCGGAGAACTCTTGCTCCCCAGACTGATAGCTGTAATACCAGCAGGGGACTGATCCAGACCCCAGGAACATGGATTTCATTGAGGAAACCTCGGAAATCTACAGGACCTCCTGTTGTAGTTCAGTACTTATCCCTAGCATAGGTGTGCACTTTGGGAGCACATTCCACATAGAGGAGTACTCCCTGAGCAAAGACACATGGGGGTGGGCCTAGGCCCTATCCCAAAGGATATGATGGACACTGATGACACCCTATGGAAGGTCTCACCATCCAGGGGGAGCAGAAAGGATATGTGATAGGTAGGATTTTAGCTGGGGGAGGGGGGGTTGGTAGGGGAGGACAGGAGGGAGAAGGGAACTGGGATTGTCATGTAAAACAATCTTGTTTCTAATTCAAATAAAAAAAATCTGAAAGAAAAAAAAAAAAGAGCAGTGGGTGCTCTTAACCTCTGAATCTCTCCAGCCTGCCTCTGCTTTTTAAAATAAGGCTGTGTTTGTGATTATTCCTTTTAAGTCTGAATATAAACTTAGTTCTTGTGGATTGTAGATTGATACTGTTTCATTACTTAGTTCTTGTAGATTGTAGATTGATACTGTTTCATTTTGACAAGTCAAAACAAAAGGCCATTCCTCCGTTTTTTTATATTCGGATGAGGTATAAATGCAGATGGCTGTGGGATTTAGAAAATGCTTGTGAACTTCACTGTCCTCATGGTCAGGACTACAGGAAAATACCTTCCTATTAAACCAGACTGCAAAGCTGGGCATTGCTTTCACATGCTAATGGGTAGATTTAAATTTGTATCTTTTAAAATCTGTTGCCTAGTACTAAAATAAATCTGGGTCCCAGCAGCTCATAATAGTTAATAGCCTTTATAAATGGGTCCCCAGACACCTGTTCTTTTACTACTAATGAGGCCCTATTGTGTGTGCAGAAATAGTGGAGTTCCTGTTGATTCTCTGTCCTAGCACATCTCCCTGTCTCCTGTGTGCATATTTAAATGACATTAAGAAATGCTGTTTCCTCTTGTTTTCTGTCATCTCTAGGATTCTGCCAGACACACTGATTCTCTGTAATAGGTTGTTTGTTCCTAAATCCATTAGGGTTGGTATTCATGCCTCCGCACCCCCGTTTTCTAGATTTTGATTTTGTTTTTTAAAGAACCAAACCTCAACCTTGTTATTTTGTGAGGGCTCAGTATAAAATGATGATGGCTTAATAGCACCAGCTACACAAGGAGCCAAGTGAAGTTTCTCAAGGAACAAGAAAATGGCTTGTGAAAGTTCCAGTGGCCCGTGGAAATGTAAGAAAGCAAACAAAAAATGGAGAAGCCATTTCAACTGTGCATTATGGTCATGATTTATCGTATGGGGTCACTTAACATACCTGCATATAGTTTACATCACTGACAATTTTGAAAATTTGTAATTATTTTCATTTCTATTTACTTTTTTCTACCAAGCAAACAATGCAATGTATAAAGACTGCTAAGTCCATCATACACTAGCTCTTTTTCTATACACTAGACTTCTAGTTTGAAATAACATTTGTGGGTAATTGCATTAACTTGTACTCTTTTTAGAGGACATTGTACTAATGTGCTTTTTAAAACATGTTTTGAAATTATGCTAGAAAGGAAATGTGCAAACTGTCCTGTTGCTATGAAACACACATTTACCTTAAAGGGAGTAAGAGTTCACAAGTGTCCATAGCCTGTGATGACTTCCATTTGCCCCCAAAACTGTATTTGAATGTGAGAATGGTTTCATGTAGGTTTTATACTTAGAGAACAAAAGAAAGTAATTATCAAAGTGCTTTCAGATACAGCAGTGGAAGCATGAGGTAGCCAGGTTACAGCAAAGCAGCAATCTCCTAAGATTGATGAGATGCCAGCTAAATACAGGAGAAAATAGTTAGGTCTACAGATACTGTGTGGGCCATGTTTCCTGCAAAGGGTAGGTAGAAAGATAAATTGTTTCCAGCTTCTGCTATAGGTTTCAGATGCTGTCTGATAACATTTTTGGCTTTTGAGACAGTGGAAACTTGTGATTTATTAAGCAAGTATGTTCCACCAATGAAGATTCATCTGATAATTCATAAGGATGTTAGGTTACATACAAAGTAAATGAGCTGAAGGTAGCCCAAGATAACTTGGCTCTGGATCTGTGCTGTGTGACACAGTACCTGAGAGACAAGAACAAAATCTACTCATCCCAGATAGGGAATTAGTGACAGGCCAAAGTAAGGACACCACCAAAGTCCAACTGGTGAACCTGTGAGTTTCAATGGGCTCACTTAGAGGAGTATGGGTGTGTGGTTACTTATGGGAACAGAAATGACTCAAAGCCACCAACATCACCAAAGCCCATGACAGCACATGTGACAGCTCACTAAAGCCTGGAGCAAACTGAACTGTGCTTGTGGGCCACCCAGTAGGTTGGAGAGTGTCCTTCCCTGGTGGCTCAGTTGAGTCTCTTCCAGGCAGTTCATATGATCTCTGCTTCTGGGCAGTTTGTATCTTCCTTGGCTTGGCTGGTCTGAGAGTCTCACTACTTATGTATGCTTGGTAAGGGAGGGGCCCAGTCTGTCTGGTCATTTTCAGGGACTTCTTGAAGTCTTTGCGTTGTTGGCATCCTAACTGTTGTTCTTTTGTTTAAGCTGCAGCTGCTAACAAGGAAAGGAACAACGAATAAGCAACCCACGTGGAGTTTATTTATCAGAGAGGGGGGAAAGAGGGGATGGGCAGTCAGCCAACCCTAGGGAAGCCGAGAGAAAGAGAAAGAGGGGTGTGGGGCAGGACCTTTTAAAGGGAAGATTGCATATGCGCAGTAGGGCAAAGGTCGAAAGGCATGGCGGGTGAGTGAGTACCCGCTTGTTAGGGGGCGGGGTTAGGGTCATCCAGGTGTTTTGTTCTTACAATCCCGGCTGTTGTTTATTATAAAAGTTAGAGAATTGGGCGTGGCAGGTTAGGGAAGTAGGGGCGAAGATGTCTTAAGGCTGCTTCCTGATGGCCTGGGGCGTTGATCGTCTTTGGGGGGTTGGGGGTGCTGCCACGTCCTGGAGTTGATTGTTGTTTCATTGTAGTCCGGGCCACTCTGGTGCCTTTTAGTCCTGGCAAGATGTTTGTAGAATAGAGGACAAGATTAAGTTTAGGAAAAAAAATTTTCTTAGGTCCTGTCATTTGACGGGAAGATTGTAAGATGAGGGAGGGGTTCCCGAGGAGTCCCAAGATGAGGGAAGGGAAATTGGGACTGGGGAAGGGTTGGATATTACCTGGAGTGAATCTGACCTGTTTGGATCTGATTCGGCTCCCTGGAACTTATAA